AGTTTCTTCATTTGGGAATCATCCTCAAATTATATGCAAAATTGAAAATGTTTTAAATCACCAAGTGTAATTTATTTTTTATAAGCAGGTATTTATGTGACTCTTCTTCTCTGTATTGGAAGACACAGGTAACAGTAAAGAAGGCTTAACAACGTTACAGATAAGTAATAGAATATAATATGGTTATAGTGAAAGCAAGAAAAATGTAAACGTTAATATTGCAATAAATAAAAAACAGAAGTGTATAAAAATGTTTGTTTCATGTGCAAATGTCAATATTTATGAATTTCAACCAAGTGAATGTCCTAAGAAACACCATTTATTCAATGATTACAGTCAATGAATTGATTTTAATGACAGCATATCATTTGTAGAACATAACCATTCTCCAGTCCAAAATGGTCATGGTGTCTGATTGAGACAACTTGTCACATTTGGTAGCGAGAAATGTTTAGTAGAATGAGTATCTTGATATAGCTCTTCAACTGAAGAATGTCAAACAATGCATGGGAGGGATCTGTTCCATTCCTCTTGCAATGCAACTCAAATCTCTCATCGTGTGGTAGACAAGCATTAACAAGACGCCTTCAGTGAGGTCTCACAGGTGTTTTCTAACATTTAGATTAGCTAGGCCTAACCATAATCTCTAGTTTACAACTTGATGTAGTGATGCCTAGCATTATCTTTCATTCAGTCAGTCTAATTATATTGCACCCATAAAAGGTCAAAAATATAGGCCTAGTAGCATGTTAACATAGTGAGCAGCAATCATGCTTCTAAACACAGCAGAATCTGTTTATCCAGTCTTTCCAATTCCATATCATTCAGACATGGCTCTCCAGACTGAAGATAAAATCTATACTCCTTTGTGAAAATCACAGTTATCTAGTAGCATCACTGGATGACCAAAACAAAGTGTGATCTTTTGATTTTTAGCCAAGCTCATCAGATTTGTTCCTTATTTTTTTGTGTGAATCAACTGGTCTTTCAGTCTAGAGCCAACCTCATCACCTCATCAGGTTTGTTCCTTATTTTTTTGTGTGAATCAACTGGTCTTTCAGTCTATAGCCAACCTCATCAGGTTTGTTCCTTAATGTTTGTGTGAATCACCTGGTCTTTCAGTCTATAGCCAACCTCATCAGGTTTGTTCCTTAATGTTTGTGTGAATCAACTGGTCTTTCAGTCTAGAGCCAACCTTATCAGGTTTGTTCCTTAATGTTTGTGTGAATCAACTGGTCTTTCAGTCTATGGCCAACCTCATCAGGTTTGTTCCTTAATATTTGTGTGAATCAACTGGTCTTTCAGTCTATGGCCAACCTCATCAGGTTTGTTCCTTAATATTTGTTGGAATCACCTGGTCTTTCAGTCTATAGCCAACCTCATCAGGTTTGTTCCTTAATGTTTGTGTGAATCAACTGGTCTTTCAGTCTATGGCTAACCTCTTCAGGTTTGTTCCTTAATGTTTGTGTGAATCACCTGGTCTTTCAGTCTATGGCCAACCTCATCAGGTTTGTTCTTTAATGTTTGTGTGAATCAACTGGTCTTTCAGTCTAGAGCCAACCTCATCAGGTTTGTTCCTTAATGTTTAAGCACTGACAATCTCTCCAGTGGTTGTGAGTTTATGATTATAAACAGAACAGCCACTTTTTGTAAATAGTGATTATGTGGTGTAGTAATAAACCTTTCAAAACTTTGTCCAGGCTGCCTGGGGTCATAGGGTAAATTAGTCTACCTGATAGCTACTACATGTCTTTGTTTAGATGGCTTCCAACATTTGATTGACTCTGCTGCCAGAGAAAACAATAATCAATCTCAAATAATCACCAAAACAACAAATGATAAAGTTCAAATATGAAATCTAGGTGGTGCCTTTCCAAGAAAGGTCATGCATTCTAAGTGCACAAAATGAAATGCTCATTCTTAGAACACGAAGTGTGCACAATATTGGTGACACACTGACTTTCTGTGTAACATTCTGGTTTATTTTCTAAGCTGCATGAAATGTTCCCTCAATAAGGGATTTTATGTAAGATAAATATATGTATATAAATATGGTGAAAGGAAGTTAACTTTGCTAGTCGTACATCTCCAAAACCAGGATAACTTCTGTATTTTACCACCATATAATGTATGCTGTGGTGTTATAATAATTTATTTTTTGGAAAAGGGTATTGTTTATTAATTTGGTAACTGTTCATCATTAGAGGTTTGGTCAGGCTATTCTTAACACTTAAAAAATTACTGAAGTGTATCTCTTATTACATATATATAGTTTTATTGATATATATTATTATATGTACATGTATTATATGCAGGTGTTCATGGTTGTAACTTTCTGTTTCTCTCTTTTCCTCATGTCCTACTACAAACCACTGTCATGATTCGTGGTTCCTAACCATTATATGAGTCTATCAAACATCTTTATTCTATTTCTAATATTTACACACATATATATATATATAAAAGTTTATTGCAGAAGAGGGACATTACTAAAGTAGGGTTATAAGAATGGAAACTTTTCAAATCGAACAGTTACTGAAAAAACACTTGAGTGGAGAACGTTCATCACTGTTAAAGCTGATTGAAATATAACATCTTCTGTTAATATACCACCTAGTTATGTATTCAGAAGATGTATTCTTAATTTATGTACATAAATCAGTAGTTACTTAATAGATGATTGTTCCTAATACTCTTGGGCAATTAAGGGAATTGATAGTATTGATG